CGCGCACACGCACACACATACGCACACACACGCGCACGCACACGCACGAACACACACGCGCACACACGCACGAACACACGAACGCACGCGTATCACAGCCAGGGCGAACAAAAGTGCAGCGAGGTTCTTGTGTGGGTTTCAAGGTCGATTATTGTCGCCGCACAAACAAGCTCGCTGATCTGCTGCTGCACCTCCGATTCGCACAGTTGGCTACGCACGGTGCGAAAGAAGTTCAACCTACATTGCATACAAATGAGCTTTGAGGCATCGGTGCTTATCTTTTGCTTTACAGCCCCGAAGCCCCTGGCGCACATTGCACATCACTCTCATGCGGGTGAGTCTCTTACCTTACCCCCACAACCCCCCCCCCCCCAAAAGTGGTGTATATTTTAGCCACCACGGAGAGATGATGGGCCGTGTCAACCCCTAACCAGGATTTGAACTCGTAACCTTTTGACTGTGAGCCGGATCGCTCTACTGCTGGAGATATATGGCCGGATAAACGACGATTTAAAATTGTATTATACTGTAGACTGCTGAGGGTCTAAGCAGGCGACACCATTAGGATTCCAACATGATCGGTGATTGATATCAGAATTAAAATATCTATTTATACTGGAGTAATCTGATGAGCTATAAAGGTATTTTTCACAGATGTCCAGAATATATGTGAACCGGTCCACCTTAACTCTCATCCACAATAAAAAAAAACATCCAGCATTGGATTAACAAGGGGCTGGGGAAATAATTATGTATTTACCATTCATCAGACGTGGTCCCGCACCTTCGATGTGCACGGTGGGCTACGTACGGTGCGAAAGAAGTTCAATGTACACACGTGACGTCACGCAACACGATCCCGTCCACGTGGTGGCTCGGCGGTGGAGCCATCGCAGGGGATCGGTCACCAAAACAACAAGAAGATCCAATTTTATTTTTTAATTCGGTAAAAAAAATAAACAAACAACTCTCTCGATATTCCAAGAGCCCGCAATGCACTTGTGTGTTGAATACGAGGCAGTGGTGCTCCCTTCGTAAATAACGTCACGAAGGAGTCACTTAAAGAGCCACATGCGGCTCCGGTGCCTGCAGGTTTGCCGACTCCTGACCCAGGGAGATGCCCAGGACCCGGGTCGGAAATTCGCCACTTCTATTAGGGGGCCGTCCATAAATGACGTCACGCGATTTTGGACGATTTTTGACCCCCCCCCCCCCTAGTCACACGGCGTCACAAAAAGTTAGACCCCCTCCTAAAATATGACGTCACAAAGCTCTACCCCCCCCCCCCAAAAAAAAATATATAAAACATGTTTCAAATCGCTTTAAATTATTGTCGTTGTAGTGCGTATTTAATGTGGCGCTGCACTCTGCTGTTGTAGGAGAAAACATTTATTGAAAAGTATTTAATTAAGTAGAACGTGTCTATATTTATTTAAAGTTGCGCATTTTGATGTGACGTCACATTTTTCAAACCCCCCCCCCCCCCGTCGTCACACATCGTCACAAATGTCTGACCCCCCCCCCCTCTAGGTACGTGACGTCATTTATGGACGGCCCCTTAGCTGTGAGCGAGAATCGGCTTCGGAGCCTGCAGGTTGCCGACCGCTGAGCTAGCGGCTCGCGATCGGAAAGTCGCGAGGTTCAAATCTTGGTTGGAAGCATTGACTCAGCCCATCATCACTCTGGGGGGGGGGGTCGATAAAACGGGTACCACTTTGTGGGGAAGTCAACGATTGTTGTTCTATGGATAGACTCACCACCCGCCGCAGGAATGTGGAATTTTCACGATTGGCTCAGGGCTGTAAGCAGATGAGCACAGACACTGTACCTCGCTGCTCCTTGAATCACTTTGACACACGTGGCCTGTGCCTATCCGGTACACACAATTACGGAAACCAAAACAATTGCAGAAATTCACCAACAAGCATCTTGAAAGCGGTGTACATAGTAACTTTATTAATATTTTTTTGTTTTCATTATTCAGGTTAAATGTGCGATTATAGTAAGATTGCTTATGCCTTCCATATCAAAAGAAGATGCTTACAGTATATTGCCCGCATACGTGTTTAGAATTTTTTTTTATGTATACAAGGTGGCTTTGCAGAGCAGCATGGCATAAATATATTTATATACAAACAACACATATATATAAAATATAACATGACTGCATCACACACCCAAGTGCTCGTGTCTTCATTGCGTTTGCTGTGCGCGTGCATGCGAGCGCGTATCACCTGCACGCTCGTGCGTGTATGCGTGTGTCGTGTGTGTGTGTGTGCCTCAAAACATCAGCACTGGGGATACAAAGGCGGCCGGGCTTGGTTGCTACTGGCCACGCCGACCCCCCGCGCGCGCCGCCCCGGCCTTCATAGCCGCTCGCGAACAGTCTGTTGCAGGCTACACTGGCAGGGGACCTTTGCCCGACTTGCACGTTACCCTTCATGCGCGCCGACACATCCCAAACACGCCGTCCACACAGAAGCGCAGAGACCCAGCAACGTTCCACCGGTTGTTGACGTGGCGCACGCGCGGGACGGACACCCTGCCGGCTTAGTCCACAGCCCCGGGATGGCGATCAGTCGCGCAGAACCCGGAGTGCAGCTCCTCCCGTGATTCCTCGAACCTAAATCGTTGCCCCGCGACCGCTTTGTCCACATCTCGCCGAGTAGATGCGCCGACGCAGGAAATGACGCCACGTTGTTTTAGGCTCGCGACCAAACACGTTTGCACGCGACGGGACACGTCGCTTCGAAATCGCTGAGCAGATCGCCAACTTTGCAAGTTGGGAGTCCGGCCTCTGCTGAGAGCAACCGGTTGCAGAGGCACCAGCGCGTTAAGTGACGGGTTGCGGGCAAGCGAGTTGCGCGCAACCCATTGCTCAGACGTGGGCCCTGCTTCACGTGCCCGCAATAGGACTGCGACGTGAAGCAGGGCACGGCATCAGCTGCCCGCTGCGCTTTCTTTAAACAATGCACGACGCTGCGTCGATCCAATGGGTGCATTTGTGGCGCACTGCGCCAGGGACCCGCCAACCTGAGTTCAATTCCCCGTCCGCGGCTAAAATCGGAAGGAGGGTAAGCTCCCGGCACGTGGAACAGAACGTCGGACATCGCGCCGGACATCACGGGGCGCAACCCGAAAACGCATCGGAGAGTTGAGCTGCTAACAAAAAAAAACTAAAAAAGAGAACAGCACAACCGCGGCAACCTTCGTAGAAGTGGTGACACCTGGAGCCTGGAGCTATGAGCAAAAAGGTTGTCAGCTGCACTAAAGTCAACCTCAACATTAAGCGTGGACGCGACGGCGTAGTGTGTATGGCATTTGCTCTTGCTCAAAAGCACACAACGGGGATCCATGAACATGAATTTCTGGCTGTCGCCTGATAAGGCTGGGTTGCAATTACCGGCGAAACGTCGTACTCGAATTGTAAACGTTGTAGGTTTACTCTCCAACGCACCGGTGTTGCTGAACTAGTAACGAATGGGCACGTGTTTTGTTTACGCGACAAACCTTATTAATTGGCTGTGTCGGGTGGTGGCGGGTTTAACGACACATTTATATTTACGCGACCCAATCCCAAATAAAAACCCCCCTGTGGACAATTTCCCCATCCTGGCCACTCTCTTCGTAGGCCGACGCCTGCGCCCCTACGGTCCGCGAACCCACTGGTGTGGCTCCACACTTCACTCAATAGCCACGGAAGCGCCGTGCAGCTCGACACATCGCGCTGTGCAGTACGCTACACGTGACGGAGAGCATCACAATCGCGATCATTCAGTGTAAGGCATTTTCGAAGTGGTATGTAAGCGCGTATTAGGGTCGACGCTCGTACACTTTGCGCACACACGTTCAAATATTGCCGGGGGGGGGGGGGGTTGGGGGTGTACAATTGCCTCTAATGCGTGATCGCGCAAAAACCCGGCGAGCCCAATGATCCACTCATACTCCCGGCGAATCCACCGCGCACGTCCCCCCCAAATTCAGCCGGTCACGGGAAGATCACCTCTGTCAAACAGCTCGCACAGCACTGCGATGAGCACGGTTGGCTACGTACGGTGCGAACTGCGTCCCGCGGTTCTGTGTTTCTTACAGGACGTCTGTAAAAAATAAAAACAAAAAAGCTTCCTATAATTTTACACGTGGGAGGCTAAATTTTGATTTAAAGCTTTCGTGACTGCAGTAATTCATATTCTTAGCTCTTTCGGTAAAGTCACGTTGAAGGGAAACAATAAAATAATAAAATATATATAAAACAATAAAAAATTCTCACGACGTTTCGACCATAACACAAACGGTCATTTCTTGCCGTTGGTTTTTCACACCTGATGACGACCGTTTGTGTTATGGATGTTGCTGTTGTTGTATGCAATCGGCCGCAAGGGTCTGGCTTTAGAGTTTCAAAGTGCGAATGACAACCGAGCGAAATCGAGCAAGCCGAGATGCAGAGCCACCTGGCGTTAACCGCAAGATGATAGTTTCCATTTGCCATACGTCACGTGTCTCTATTTAACAAAAAAGTTCTCTGCGCTCGTCAACTCGTAGCCGTGCGGCCGCAAGTGATCCACAAAACCTCGCGGATCCCGCCAAGGAGCATAACACCATCACGCGAACTGCGGACATCCTCGCAGCAGCAGCAGCAGCAGCCGCGGCTTTTGGCAGCTGCCATCGAACACAAACGGCGGTCACCGCGTCGCGCGGCGCTTTCAGGCGCGCTTCTGCGGCCGTCTGGAACGCTCTTTCCTTCCGACATTGGGAAGCCACTGGAGCGACGCACTTTTAAATCATATTGGTTTGAAAACTCATTTCTTTAGAACTGTTGTTTTTCTGTGTTTAGATTTCTGTCCTTCTCCCAGCACTTCTGATTTGCGTGGTTGGCTACGTGCGGTGCGAAATAAGTTCAACGTATATACGTCAATAAGTCGCCGCCTGGAAAACGCTATAGTGGTTCTGTACTTTAAATGCTACATCAATACACGTAAAAAATGGATCAACCAGAGAGCTATTTTAATTGGTTTGTATTTGTTGCGCTGAGAGCTATGGTAGTAATACCGAATGCGGACGAATGATTGCACATTTGTAGAGCGTAATGCTTTTAGCTGGCTCGATAAATGCAAGTGTTCACTATAGAAGGTACATGCATACTAGAACAAACACATATTTAAAACTATTCAATTGTTATTGTGATTTTTTTCTTCAATTGACAATATTTTTCGAAATAAGTCATTTTAAAAATGTGTTGTTAAACGCCTTAAAATATTTCAACTTGCATAGGCGACATTCACCTTGGAAGATTCACCAATATTACTTACTGTTATGCTTCCTCGTATTGTGTATATATGCATGGGAAAAGGTTAGACATACATCCTCAGAAACATAACTATTTGTTATCACACGTATTACCTAACGTTGAATATATAATAAATATAGTTTAAATATTTCAAGGCACTCAAGAACAGTTATTATTACGACTTTAAAACTACCGAGTGAATTTTAACTGAATAGATTTTGCCGCACGAACACAAAACGATCATGACTACATTCCCTCAACTTTTACCAACTTTGTAAGACTATTCATCTAACTAAAGTAATGCCAGATTTTTTTTTAGGGAACAATGTGATTAATAACAATGTTTGAAGTGCTTAGATCCACGAATGCAAGTTCTACCTAGCTTAGGCAAATAGCTAAAAAGGTATGGGCACAGCCCTGCAATTACTTGCTTAGGCCAATGCTGGTGGCAGGGCCTCCACTATTGAAGGAGCGGTGAAATACGGTTGTGTGCACGTGCTGGGTGGATCGTTAACATGGCAGGATTGTGAGTGATGGCGGTGACCAATTGGAGAGGCCTTCATCCAACGGTGGACTGACCATGGCTGATGATGATTTACGACTGCATTTGTGTGTCAGTGGGCATACTTTAAGAGACTTCAAAAGTCGGACATTGAACACGGGAAACTCACAAAGTGGGATCGTTACAGGAAGGTTACACTATTCATAAAGGTGATGATGGAATACAGTAATAAAGGAGGCCTGAGTTGTGTAGGCCATAGTGTGTGTATAAACGCTAGGTGACACCCACGGCAGTGCATTAAAATCTACAGCGCGTCCATTGTACGCAACCAATATTACACTATACACCCCGAGCATCAGTGCGTGTACATAGAATGCATATCACAGTGTCTATCGTGACTTCAGTTTACATGCAATAATTAATGTTAAATAATATTTAAACGGACGCTGGCTATCCTTGAACCTATAGTGTTTATTGAGGATGTATTATTGTGCACTTTAGAATGTACAAGTTTTGGAATGATTTGAAATATAAAAATGCATATATTGAAGAACGATGAGGTTAACTTGGAATAATAAGAATGGGTTCCGACTGTGACTGTCAGAGAGGAAAGGAAGACCTCAATATATCAGCCTGAGATCTTCTAAGGGGCACTACCGAGGTTTAGGAAAAAAGTCATACTCAGCCTATATCTGGGATACACCTTACTCACACATTATATTCTCAGGTATGGAGGTCATTTCACCCGGATGTAAAGCTCTTCAAGCGAAAGCAGGTCATGAACGCCATCAATTCAGTCACGCACGTCGCACACATGAGCTGAACAGCCGGAGGATTGCGTTCTCTGTCAAGGAGAGGTGAACAAAATCAACAGTCCCTTTTACAGGCTTGACAAAAACACATTCTTTCTAATCGTTACTACCGGGACATTCCCATCACAACCCGCGTGGCTTTCAACAGCATGTTTCCGTATAAACCACCATTGCATAGCGCAGCAATTTTTTTTTTATCTTAACTTAAAGCTTTCGTGACTGCAGGAATTCATATTCTTTGGGTCTTTGGGTAAAGTCACGCAGATAGGTTCAACCTATAGGTTCAACCTATTTACGTGACTTCAACCTTAAACCTATCTACCTTCAACCTATCTACGTGACTATACCAAAATACCCAAAGAATATTTTTTCAAAGTTTAGTTTTCTTATCCTGTTCTGTTGCTGGATTTCCAATCATCCATTCGTGGAGTAAAACGTAGCTCACATGCGCATCCACCTTGATGCTCGTTCCAGCGAAAGGGGAAAAAATGAATGTTTGAGCATTTCACGTCATGTAATGCAACATCAATGCACGCCAACATTATTTTTTGCCGTTAACATCTTGTTTAAGCAATCTTCCTCCAGTTTTAAATTCATCAGCGTGGCCGGAGTGGAGCAGTTGCGGTTTCAATCCTCGAGAAAATTAGTTAAATTCCCGCGTTCACCGTCAAATCAGCTCCACGACCATCATCATCGTCATCCATCTGTCAGTAAAATGAGCACCGCTCGAAGGGTGTGCGTGACGAGGTGTTGCAAGCCAACAAACGGTCGTTGTGTTGATTTGTAAAGCTGTCCTTGCCATAGCAACGTGGATTTTCCACCAAAGGCTCAAAACTTCAAGTGTAAGTGTCCGGGAACTCCGCGAGAGTGGACGCGGACGGCATTGCCCTCTTCGTCGTCGTTGCCGTCAAACACCGCTTGTCGCGCTGCTTCGAGGAGTCGACAGTTCGCGTTTGTCAAACGAGCACATTACTGGTCCTCGCCATAGGAACGTGGAATTTCACGAGAATCCGGTACCGAAGCTGAGCACCGCTCAGAGCTGGCTGTTGTGGCTCCGTGAAAAAAAAAAGAAAAGACTTTGGCTCTCGTTTCTTGTGTGTAACCATGTCTTTGCTATTCCATGACGATGCAAATCCTAATTGTGATTTGAAAAATTAGAATGACTAAAGCCAATTAAATTATAAAAAGTGTATAAGCTTGATGTGTTTATATCGATTGCTTCAGGACGCCTGTGAAAACTAGACCCTTCAAATGACTTTCACAGGTTATATAATCTCTAATGAATACGCGCGATTGTAATTGTTGTTGTTGGACACAAAAATAAAGAGGCTCGACTTAAATGTCGCCATCAATTCCTGCCGTGGAAGATGCGCCGTTCATTCCTTACGTAGCACACTTGATTTACTTTCTTCATAACCAGGCCTTCACCATGCTGGAACTGACCTGCGTCCAGTAACTCGCAACGATCCGTTCGGCTTGAGGAGGAGACTCTCACCAGGCAATGGTTTGACATACGGGCTGTCCATACACATGAATAACAATGGGGCAAGGCTGAAACACTAACACAGAGCAACGCTAATCTATATATATGTTTTTTTTTGCAAGCTTAGTACTGGCCCAAAAAAAACGAACCTCCTTACATCTTGTAAGGCGGCTCAAGAAAATCACCATGCGCGAGTAGATAACAGAACGAATGAACGGCCTTACGTATCCACGGCGTGGCCCGGAATGGCATTGTAACCACCGCTGTTGTTGCTGTTGCTCGCAGAAGCTGCTGTCCGTGGTGCTGAAGTCGCGTTAGAGTTTGTCGTGTTCAGCACGGGCTTCCAGATGAGCGTGTAGTATATGGCGAGGAACACAGCGGCCAGCGACACCGACAGCACGTATCCGAACACCGTGAGCAGGCGGATCCACTTCTCCTTGCCGTGATTCGCCATCCTCTGCCGAGGCCGCTCCTTACTCTTCTTCCTCGGCTTGGAAACGCGATTCGGAGCCGCTTGGTGCCCGTGGCTCGAATGGGTTAGCATCACCGCGGGAGATGGCGTTGGTGGCGATGGTGGTGGTGACGATGATGACGGAGGAAAGATGTTCATGGGCCGTCGACAGGGAGAGGTTATGGCTAAACTTCCATCGACTGTCGGGAGAGAGAAACACGCAGGCACAGTCACGTTTGCTGAAATAAAAAAAACACGATCGACCCTGAGATTCGGAAAGGCCTCCGCTATTGAGAACTCCAGAGAGCCACTCCAGTGGGCATTTGGCCTTATAATCCACGCTGCCCAGACGTCTTGGATGAGGTGGCGGCGGACGGGGGACGCACCCACACTTTACCCAACCACGACCTGCCGATCGACGGTGTAAACTATAACAATGACTGAGACGAACGGAGTAATAGGACACGCCGGACGCGGGTGCACGGCAACGGGTGAACACGCAAACTCTTGACAGGATCGCACACAGATGTGGTAATACGTACATGGCATGAACATGCGAGGCACACACATTGCATACCGCGCAGCATAAGGTTACACACAACAGTCCGAGGGATTAACACACGTCGGCAGTGGACACATAAACACAGCGTGTCCCCCGTATGGCCTTAATATGCTGTAGGGGCAAGTGCTGTTAGCGAGCACCTATGAAAGCCGGCACGGCGCATGAGAGGGTGGGTGGCCAACACCACGCCCGGCCGCCTTTGTCTCCCCAGTGGCGATGTTAACACATCGCACCGGGTACTCATTTGAAGCTTAGTCGACCTAGGGGAGGCCCAGGACCGATGTTGATCGTGAGCGGGGATCGAACCCGGGTCGCCAGGTTCGTAGCGCAGCGCGCTAACCACTAGACTACCGCTCCCCACTACTGTACGTGTGTGTGTGTATAAAACACACACACGTACAGTATAACCAGCACACAACGCATCGTGTGTATCACACCATGTTGTACGTATGAGAAACGAAGTCTAAAATACTGGCAGTATATACATGACAGTATATATACGCGGCGGCAATGTATACAAACAATGCTGCAAATTACAAATAATACCCAAACACACACATTAACCTAGATTAACCAGATACCAAACGTGAAATATTACAAAAAGTATCTTACTTTATAATGCTTTGCTTTGGAATTAGATCCTTCTGTTGCATCACAAGGTCGAGCGAGCAAATATTCACGGCTCATCAGAACCACATGTACAGCAATGCCAGCCGACGCACGATTTCAGATCTCGCACAAAATGGTAACAATGGTAAAGCAGTGCCATTATGGTCCGCGCTAATAAAATTGGCACGGCCATAGCTCCAGCAACCAGCACGTAAGCTTTCTACAGTGGCTAGACTTGACGGTGGTGATTATTATTATTATAATAAATACATACACAACGACTCGTCTGTCCTTGAGATCAAAGAACAGCGCACAGGCATCACACTCAACACACACGCGCAACAAGGCAAGTGAAATTAGTCTCCGAGCAAACATAATAATCGCGACTGATAATTATCTCGGATGAGGCCAAACCTTTAAGCGCTGTGTCCTTTCCGCGATGGCTGAGTCCTGTTTTGAGAAAGCCCCGATGCTAAATCGATACGGATGTGTTGTACAGTATTGTGCATGTAGGCAAAGACAAAGGTTCCCCGTTTAGCCTCGACACACCGTTGGGGCAAGTGCTGTAAGCGAGCGCCAATGCAGGACGGCACGGGACACGAAGGGGCGGGTGTGCCAGCACCACGCCCGGTCGCCTTTGGTCTCCCCAGTGGCGATGTTTACACATTGCATTATGCACTGTACTAATTTGAGGCTGAGTCGACCTAGGGGAGGCCCAGGTCCGGGTCAGATGATCGTCACTGGTGTTGGTGGCCGCGAGCGAGAATCGAATTTAGGTCGCCGTTTTCGACGTACTGCGCGATAACCACTACACTACCGCCCCTCTAAGACAAAGATCCCCCGTATAGCCTTCGCAGACTGTACGGGCAAGTGCTGTTAGCGAGCACCTATAAAGGCCGGCACGGCACACGAGGGGGTGGGTGGTCAACACCACGCCCGGCCGCCTTTGTCTCTCTAGTAGGCGATGTTTACACATCGCACCAGGTACTCATTTGAGGCTGAGTCGACCTAGGGGAGGCCCAGGACCGGTTCAGATAATCGTCACTGGTGTTGGTCGTGAGCGGGAATTGAACCCGGGTCGCCAGGTTCGTAACGTAGCACACTAACCGCTACACTACCGCTCCCCACCCGCCCCTTTAAAGACACACACATACACATGCTGATACAACCATTATGAATACTACAGTATAGCTCCGACAACACGCATATCGTTGGGCACTTAAGCCTGTCACGGAAGTGTCACAGTGCCCAGATAACTCGACTGACAACCTGAAATGTTGCGAGTTTAATTCCCGGTATGTGAGCATCAACTAATCATCATCATAGGTACAAAATACGTGCCACTTGTGGTTTTGTCCCGTGGATAAACTGGACTGTCATGTCAATGTGGAATTTTCGACACCGGCCAACGGTTGCCAATGCTATATTGAGCAGACAGACACGTTGAGTTCATTAAATGTATCAGCAGTGATAAACTCGCTGCTGGATGAAGACCTCCCCAAACCAGCGCCATCTGGTGAAGCAATGTCACGTATCATTTCCTCCAAGTGGTCACAGATATGAAGAAGGAACGTTTCTCGAAACGTCGCCTATTACATATCGGTTCCTCTGTAGGGCAGGCCGCCCATGAAATACTGTGGAGCTTACCAGCTCACTGGGTCCTTCCTGGAGATAGAATGTTGGCATCACAGGACCGTTAAAGGATGGCGATGGCCGTGTTGAGTCTTTCATCCAGCAGTGGATTGATCTTGGTCAATGGAGACGACTACGATGATGATTATAATGGTGGAAGCAAAAAAAATATTCAGTGCTGTACATACAAATGCTTAAATCGAAATTGTTTCACTTCAACAACGATATTTTTTTTCTTCTTTGGTTCTTTCGGTAAAGTCACGTAGAATGAGAATAAAATAATAAATTGATAAAATAAAATAACACAATAATATTCTCACGACGAGACTGTCTGGTAGGACAGCGCTGTCCTACCAGACAGTCTCGTCCCTTCACCTGATGAAAGCCGCTTGTGTTGTGGCCGAAACGTCGTGAGAATATTATTGTGTTATTTTATTTTATCAATTTATTATGTTATTCTCATTCTACGTGACTTTACCGAAAGAACCAAAGAAGATGAATCCTTGCAGTCACGAAAGCTTTAAATCGAAATATTTTTTTCTTCTGAGATTATTGCGTGACAACCACTTGCACGTCAACGGTGCTGATTTGAGCAATTCTATATAATGACCACTAGATGTAGCCCACAGTCTACACGGTGCACAAGCCAGGAGGCATCATGCCTACTTGGCTGCCAACTTAGACTAAGGCTGTCCCTGGGCTTCCCTCGTCACTGCTCATTCGACCAAGAGGAGCCTTTCGCGTTTGCTGTCGGTGTTAAAATCTGAAACGAAACGCCGCGCCTGGACCGTTCAGATCCTCAGTTCCGAATCCTGGCAGTCCCCTCTTATTGAAGCAACGCGAACTAAAACTACGCGTGACACGAGTGCAGGAGTCGGCAAACCTGCGGCTCGGGAGCCACATGCGGCTCTTTAATGATCTGCTTCGTGACGTCTCGTATTCACCACGGGCGCATTACGGGCTCTCGAAATATGAAGGGTCTTTATTTTTTTACCGAATTCGAAAACATGGCTCTTCTTGTTATTTTGGTTGCCGACCCCTGCAAGTATTGAGAGCAATTCACACGTGGCGTTTAAAACGGAATTTCGAGCGCCAAGAATTACAATTGCGTTTCCAGTGTAAAATCAGCAGACTTTAGAAACAAAAAACTTATAATGGTATTCTCAAGTGCCACTCACAAACGGCTTTATTAATGGCAATCAAAAGTACGGCGGGAGCAGCCATACAGCAATGCATTCGACGCAGCTGAAGCTGGAAGGGTGCCGAGAGCATTGAGAGTCCCAGGTGAAAAAATAAACTTATTAACAGATGTTTTTATTTTACCAGGTAAGGCCCACTGAGCTACATAGCTCTTTTTCAGAAGCGACCTCTCTCTCTCTCTCTAGCGTATGGCAAGTGTGTACAAATCACACGTCCAAGTTTAAGTCTGTAAGCCATGCGAAAGCTTCAGGAGTAGCGCGACTAATACTGCTCAGTCCGCGGGAGAGCAGGCGTAGTATGCAGTTGTTCGCAAGATAGTCCATTGTCTGGTTCGGGTGGCCCCAGTCACACGTTTGTCTGACGTTTGTGCGCAGCGACCTGTTGCTGTTCCGAAACAGTTGATGGAGTACCACAGTTTTTTTGGCAGATCAACGCCGTGCATAGCAATCGTGGGGTCGTCGTCGATGAGGTTTTTAAGTGAAATGTTCACCGAACTCCAGAGTGTTCGCCAGCGGTCTTCAATTGACCTCGCGACCTGGCCAGCGACCTGGCCACAAATGATAGCTCAAAAAAGTGGCTCGTCATGTGGACATTTATTGGAGCCAAATACTCCAAAAGCATGTTTCTAAATGTGGAGGTAAAAACCCACACGACCAGGGGTAGAACATGCAAACTCCACATATTCAGGCGCCAGGGTCGGGATGGAACCCACACGACCTCCGATATACCACGCGAGGTAGTTAACATCTCGCCACGGTGGCGCCCTCGCAGGCACGGAGAAACCAGGTGACGGTAGCACCCAGGGCAGTCCCGTTTCTCTGGACGTTCAGCAGATCTTGGAACATGCCGCCAAGAACACGACGCTTCTCTGTACTCAGAGGTTTAAGGAGGGTGAAGAGGTATGATGGCTGAGTTTGACAGACAGCACGAAGAGAGTTTGGGTATGGCATCTAGTGCGTGATTTTCGATTTGTCAGGAAGCCGTTACAAGGTTCTGAGTGCAGTCACGGGCTCCATGTGGTATTTTGGATTCGCTGCAATTTATCTTGATGTTGTTTGGACAAGGATGGGATTCACCCAAACTTAACGTAACAGCCCTTTGTCAATCCAATGCTGAACGAAGGCGTCCCCACGCTAGGCCAGTCGTAAAATTTCTGCGACCATACTTCAACACTCTGGTCATTCCTGGTTTTTGAAACGGAAGGGGTGCCCAGGACTGGGCTTAGATATAACTCGCCACCGTTGTAGGAGTCGAACACAGCTCGCCCGGTTAGCGCTGCATTGCGCTATGAACCCGGCGATCAGGGTTCGATTCCCGCTCACGGCCAACACTGGTGGCGATTATCTGAACCGGTCCTGGGCCTCGCTTAGGTCAACTCAGACTCAAATGAGTACCTGGTGCGCTGTGTAAAAATAATTTGCCACTGGGGAGACAAAGGCGGTCGGGCGTGGTGCTGGCCACCCACCCTGTCGTGTACCGTTCCGGCATTCATAGGTGCTCGCTAACAGCACTTGCCCCTACAGTCTGTTAAGGCTATACGGGGGATATATTTTTTTTTTACCAAAGTGCCAACTTTTCTGCTCTCCATTAAAAAAAAAATTTGGTGATGGAAAAAAAAACCTCCCGATACGACCCGGGGAGGTCAGTCAACCAGCCAACCAAGCCCAGACATTGGGGGGTTCTGGTAGCCCTCGTGAGCGCAGGGGAGTAGTGTAACTCTCTTACAACAGCGCAGTTCCAGAGGTTGCGTAAGAAGGATCTTTGAGGAATGTCAAGCGAATGCCCCAGATGTCACGTCTAAATCATTTCACGACGTGACATGTGGATCTACTTTTGTCTGCAGTGGCTCGTCTATGATGCCTGATGCGGGGGAGGGGGGGGGGGGGTGTGCGGGCGGGCGCAGGGGCTGGAGAAAAAAAAAATCGCTTTGCGCGAAGATGTCAGTCACACGAGTTGTGAAATAACCGATTTAAAACGCGCAAGCAAAAACATTGACACGTGCAGCGGTGCACACGATGCAAATAAACAATACAAAGACCCCTCACCCCACCGTGTAGCCTACTTAGACTCTTGGGGCAAGCGCTGTTAGCGAGCACCTATTGAAGCCAACACGGCGCACGAGGGGGTGGTGTTGCCAGCGCCACGCACGGCCGCCTCGGTCTCCCCAGTGCCTAGGACCGGTTCAGACATTCATCCCTGATGTTAGCCATGCTCGGGACTTGAACTCAGGTCGCCAGGTTCGTAGCACAGTGTGCTTACCGCTCACTATGCTACAACTCCCCACCTCCATACACAACAAACATAAAGATAAAGATCCCCCCTACAGCCTGGACAGACCGTTAGGGAAAGTGCTGTTAACGAGCATCTAGGAAAGCCAATACAGCGCACGAGGGGGCAGGTAGCGAAGGCAATGCCCGTCCGCCTTTGTCTTTCCAGTGCTGATGCTTTTACATGCAGCAGCAGGTGCTCATTTCAGACTCAGTCGACCTAGAAGGAGCACGGTATCAGTTCAGATATTCGTCACCAATGTTGGAGTCGAACTGGGGTGGCCAGGTTCGTAGGACAGCTCAATCCCCACATGCACTCTTACAAAGACAAATATCCCCCACAAAGCCTTAACAGACTGTTGGGGCAAGTGCAGTTAGCGAGCACCTATTACGGCCGCCACAGTACACGAGGAGGTGGGTGGCCAGCACCACGCCCGACCGCCTTTGTCTCCCCAGTGGCGATGTTTACACACCGCACCATTAATTAATTTGAGGCTGAGTCGACCTAGGGGAGGCCTAGGACCGGTTCATATAATCGTCACTGGTGTTGGCCGTGAGCGGGAATCGAACTCGGCTCGTCGGGTTGATAGCGTACATCCAAGGACCAACACAAGACACGAAGCAACTACACACACACACAGGGATTTTGTTCTATGCAATACAGTCCTCCAATGTCGTCTGTCAGCATGCATTTTATAAGCAAAAGCCACACACGTGTTAAACAAAC